ACTCTTCCACTTTCTCTAACGCTCCTGCACCCAGCACTCTTCCACTTCCTCTACATCTCCTGCATCCAACTCTCTTGCACCTCCTCTGCAATTCTTGCACCCAACAATATTGCACTTCCTCTAAGGCTCCGGCATCCAGCACTCTTCCACTTCCTCTGCAACTCCTGTACCCAACACTCTTCCACTTCCTCTGTATCTCCTGCACCTAGCACTCTTCCACTTCCTCTGCAACTCCTGCACCCAACACTCTTCCACTTCCTCTGTATCTCCTGCACCCAGCACTCTTCCACTTCCTCTGCAACTCCTGCACCCAACACTCTTCCACTTCCTCTGCAGTTCCTGCACTCTTCCACTTCCTCTGTAGCTCCAGTATCCAGCACTCCAGTATCCAGGCTCCTGCACCTAGCACTGTTCCACTTCCATTGCAGTTCCTGCACTTAGCACTCTTCCACTTCCTCTGCATCTCCTGCACACAGCACTCTTCCACTTCCTCTGCATCTCCTGCACACAGCACTCTTCCACTTCCTCTGCAACTCCTGCACCCAGCACTCTTCCACTTCCTCTGCAATGTTTATCTGAATCAGTCTATTTTCTATTTTTCCTGCAACTCTCTGCGCCCAACACCCTTTCACTGATATCTGCAGCTCCTGTAAACCAACACAGTCACCACAGCCTGTTGATCCAGACTCACAGTCCTCCATTTTTATTCTTCTCCATGATGTGATAAGTTGTGGCAGATGGTTATCAGTGGGAATGTCTTATCTATAATAAACTAGAGATCAAGCATAATACTAATGAAATTGAACTCCTCTCTGCCATGAATTAAAATGCCCACTACCTCGCACAGTGCAGTGGTATCTATCCATTTCCTCCAGCACCGACTCACTTGGATTTGTAAACTTATTGTAAAACAAAGAGCTTCCTATAATGTTTACTCCTCTATGCTATAGCTCTGTATAACAGCGCTTCCTATAATACCTCCTATAGCTCTGTATAACAGCTTTATTAAATTATTAATAAAATAATTAAGGAATAACAAATGGGGTCATTGCCAACAAATCTTAATAATGTTAACATCCCCCATATACATAACATACCCCTAGCAATGACCCCACAATAATAACAATAGATAACAATCTAAATAACATGTTAATACAGAAACTGACCGCCCAATATGACCACATTTCCACCAGGTTAAATTGTAGGGGTTTACCGAGACACCACTACCCACCATATCGATTGTAGGGGTGTACCAAGACACCACTACCCACCATATCGATTGTAGGGGTGTACCAAGACACCGCTACCCACCATATCCATTGTAGGGGTGTACCAAGACACCACTACCCACCATATCCATTGTAGGGGTGTACCAAGACACCGCTACCCACCATATCCATTGTAGGGGTGTACCAAGACACCGCTACCCACCATATCCATTGTAGGGGTGTACCAAGACACCGCTACCCACCATATCGATTGTAGGGGTGTACCAAGACACCGCTACCCACCATATCGATTGTAGGGGTGTACCAAGACACCGCTACCCACCATATCCATTGTAGAGGTGTACCAAGACACCGCTACCCACCATATCGATTGTAGGGGTGTACCAAAACACCGCTACTCCCCATATCGATTGTAGGGGTGTACCAAGACACCGCTACACACCATATCCATTGTAGGGGTGTACCGAGACACCATTACCCACCAGTTCCAGTGTAGGGTGTACCAAGATACCGCTACCCGCCAGTTCCAGTGTAGGGTGTACCAAGACACCACCACACCCCCAGGTTCGGAGCCACCGACAGGCTCGAACCTACCAACCACGTGCAACACTGCCCAATCCACACTAAACCTCAGGAGGCCCACTTTCTCCTCCATCTACCCTCCGATTTAACCAGGCCACTCCCCGCCGCTGTGAAAAAATGGGAAATCAACTAACCAAACCAAATACAGGGAGGGTGGGAGGGACAACTGACAGGTAAGCTTAGGTTCAGTTAAAATGGCCACTTCATATAATGGCTGGTATAAATACCCCCCTTATGGCTCTGCCCTACCCAGCATGCTAGCGGTCACTAACTTTCTGTTGCTGCTATGCCTACCTCCTGGCTCTGTCAAGGCCTATTCATCTTAGCTGCGCTGATCCATGGGCTACACAATGTTTCTATTTTTCCTTTGCCTTGTCTGAACTTGATTGCGAAGTAATTTCCTATATCTTTAAAATACATTTAAACGAAAACAGAGCATCTCATAAAGAAAAGGTTAACACTAGATAAAGGCGATTTTCAAAGTTTTATGCAATTATATACCACATTGCGCGCAAGATGCAACTCTTCAAAAACAAGCAGGGGGGGAGAGTTAAAATGCACTCAGGTTTGGCCTCTCACTGCTTTTAGGGTCCCGTAGCAAGGGCCTCCACTATTAATGAGCAGCTGCCTATGGTCAATCGATTATTTACAGGCGTATTCATTAAACTCGGAATTTCATGAATTCAAACCGGATGCAAAAACTGAGGGAAAAAAAAAAAGATGATTTGGAAAAAATTCTCCAACCCAGCTATTTAAGCCCATATGCAAATGCTTTATCTGCGCTCGCCATATGGCCAGCCAACAGTGGTAAAAAGTATAAAAACGTCCTACGCGTTTCATCCTGTCTAGGGACTTCCTCAGGGACAATAAAGCAGTTACAAAATCAGAATACCTGATTAGGTATTCTGATTTTGTAACTGCTTTATTGTCCCTGAGGAAGTCCCTAGACAGGATGAAACGCGTAGGACGTTTTTATACTTTTTACCACTGTTGGCTGGCCATATGGCGAGCGCAGATAAAGCATTTGCATATGGGCTTAAATAGCTGGGTTGGAGAATTTTTTCCAAATCATCTTTTTTTTTTTCCCTCAGTTTTTGCATCCGGTTTGAATTCATGAAATTCCGAGTTTAATGAATACGCCTGTAAATAATCGATTGACCATAGGCAGCTGCTCATTAATAGTGGAGGCCCTTGCTACGGGACCCTAAAAGCAGTGAGAGGCCAAACCTGAGTGCATTTTAACTCTCCCCCCCTGCTTGTTTTTGAAGAGTTGCATCTTGCGCGCAATGTGGTATATAATTGCATAAAACTTTGAAAATCGCCTTTATCTAGTGTTAACCTTTTCTTTATGAGATGCTCTGTTTTCGTTTAAATGTATTTTAAAGATATAGGAAATTACTTCGCAATCAAGTTCAGACAAGGCAAAGGAAAAATAGAAACATTGTGTAGCCCATGGATCAGCGCAGCTAAGATGAATAGGCCTTGACAGAGCCAGGAGGTAGGCATAGCAGCAACAGAAAGTTAGTGACCGCTAGCATGCTGGGTAGGGCAGAGCCATAAGGGGGGTATTTATACCAGCCATTATATGAAGTGGCCATTTTAACTGAACCTAAGCTTACCTGTCAGTTGTCCCTCCCACCCTCCCTGTATTTGGTTTGGTTAGTTGATTTCCCATTTTTTCACAGCGGCGGGGAGTGGCCTGGTTAAATCGGAGGGTAGATGGAGGAGAAAGTGGGCCTCCTGAGGTTTAGTGTGGATTGGGCAGTGTTGCACGTGGTTGGTAGGTTCGAGCCTGTCGGTGGCTCCGAACCTGGGGGTGTGGTGGTGTCTTGGTACACCCTACACTGGAACTGGCGGGTAGCGGTATCTTGGTACACCCTACACTGGAACTGGTGGGTAATGGTGTCTCGGGACACCCCTACAATGGATATGGTGTGTAGCGGTGTCTTGGTACACCCCTACAATCGATATGGGGAGTAGCGGTGTTTTGGTACACCCCTACAATCGATATGGTGGGTAGCGGTGTCTTGGTACACCTCTACAATGGATATGGTGGGTAGCGGTGTCTTGGTACACCCCTACAATCGATATGGTGGGTAGCGGTGTCTTGGTACACCCCTACAATCGATATGGTGGGTAGCGGTGTCTTGGTACACCCCTACAATCGATATTGTGGGTAGCGGTGTCTTGGTACACCCCTACAATGGATATGGTGGGTAGCAGTGTCTTGGTACACCCCTACAATCGATATGGTGGGTAGCGGTGTCTTGGTACACCCCTACAATCGATATTGTGGGTAGCGGTGTCTTGGTACACCCCTACAATGGATATGGTGGGTAGCGGTGTCTTGGTACACCCCTACAATCGATATGGTGGGTAGCGGTGTCTCGGTACACCCCTACAATTTAACCTGGTGGAAATGTGGTCAAATTGGGCGGCCAGTTTCTGTATTAACATGTTATTTAGATTGTTATCTATTGTTATTATTGTGGGGTCATTGCTAGGGGTATGTTATGTATATGGGGGGATGTTAATGTTATTAAGATTTGTTGGCAATGACCCCATTTGTTATTCCTTAATTATTTTATTAATAATTTAATAAAGCTGTGGACGAATTATTTCCAACAATATAACCTGTGTCCATGTTTTAATGGGGGTTTGGGTAAGGTTAGCGCATATGCCGCCAAATCCGACTGTGCGCCTGTCATGTTGTTTCGTATCTGCTCTGTATGTTTTCTCTATGCTGACCGGGAAAAACATGCGGCTTATAACAGCGATTGTCAGGGAGCTAAGATGGAGGCGCCCAGTTGTAGGATAAAGAGGTGTGGATTTCAACATTTAATTTTATTTTTCATACTTCACCAATACGCATTTGTTTTAAATATAAAGAAGAGTAAACATCATATTGGAAAATTCTGTGAAGTGACTAAATCTCTTGTTTTACAATAAGTTTACAAATCCAAGTGAGTCGGTGCTGGAGGAAATGGATAGATACCACTGCACTGTGCGAGGTAGTGGGCATTTTAATTCATGGCAGAGAGGAGTTCAATTTCGAGAGAGGAATTAATAGGTCTTAATCCTCAGTCTGTAGTTAAACCATCCAAGCTGAGATTCCCACTGATACATATGACAAAGAGAAAAGTAAGAGAACATCTGCCACAACTTATCACATCATGGAGAAGAATAAAAATGGAGGACTGTGAGTCTGGATCAACAGGCTGTGGTGACTGTGTTGGTTTACAGGAGCTGCAGATATCAGTGAAAGGGTGTTGGGCGCAGAGAGTTGCAGGAAAAATAGAAAATAGACTGATTCAGATAAACATTGCAGAGGAAGTGGAAGAGTGCTGGGTGCAGGAGTTGCAGAGGAAGTGGAAGAGTGCTGTGTGCAGGAGATGCAGAGGAAGTGGAAGAGTGCTGTGTGCAGGAGATGCAGAGGAAGTGGAAGAGTGCTAAGTGCAGGAACTGCAATGGAAGTGGAACAGTGCTAGGTGCAGGAGCCTGGATACTGGAGTGCTGGATACTGGAGCTACAGAGGAAGTGGAAGAGTGCAGGAACTGCAGAGGAAGTGGAAGAGTGTTGGGTGCAGGAGTTGCAGAGGAAGTGGAAGAGTGCTGGGTGCAGGAGATACAGAGGAAGTGGAAGAGTGTTGGGTGCAGGAGTTGCAGAGGAAGTGGAAGAGTGCTAGGTGCAGGAGATACAGAGGAAGTGGAAGAGTGTTGGGTACAGGAGTTGCAGAGGAAGTGGAAGAGTGCTGGATGCCGGAGCCTTAGAGGAAGTGCAATATTGTTGGGTGCAAGAATTGCAGAGGAGGTGCAAGAGAGTTGGATGCAGGAGATGTAGAGGAAGTGGAAGAGTGCTGGGTGCAGGAGCGTTAGAGAAAGTGGAAGAGTGCTGGGTGCAGGAGCCTTAGAGAAAGTGGATGAGTGTTGTGTGCAGGAGTTGCAGAAGAAGTGGAAGAGTGCTGGGTGCAGGAGAGGCAGAGGAAGTGGTGATGGTGGAGTTTACAGATTTGTTAGGAGCAGTTGGAGTTAATAGGTAGCTAGCCATATCCTTTATAAGCAAAGTCTGTGTTATCTATTGATATAGCCTGTCAGAGCCAACGTTTTCATCCCAGACAGAAATGTGTCCACTTTAAACCACTGCGGGCCAGCAGGCCTGTAAGACATCAGCTGAGCAACGATGATGTAAGGATTGGATGTGCTCTAAATAGCATATGATTCTCTGTCTAAAAGGTGCTAAAGGCAGCTAAGTACAAAAATACTGTGTGAAGCTTGATTAAAGAGATTATCACTTTATTTAAAGTTGTGGTGCAAGGAAATTATCATTAAAAAAACAAACTACATTGTAGTTAATTAAACATATATGAAAAGCTGTTAACAGGCTTACTTTTTATTTTATTTTTTATTGTGCGATAACTGCTTATATGCAAATTAGCAATAACAGCCAGTAATAAGACAGGAACACGGCGAACCTTCGGAATTGCTTGACAACTGCTGCAAATAGTGACCCTTGACCCAACGTTGAGTTCTGAATACAATGGCTGACACACAGGATATAGATCAGACTCTACTAATTATGTTCTAGCAAGAACAGAATTTTAAAAAAAGTAACAATATTTTTAGTAATTATTTAAAATATCACACGTAAAGCCAGAGGTGTCTGCTTATTAAAAGTATTAAATGAGCATTTGTTTGCAATGAATATAGAAATAAGATAATGAGCCGGATTTTATCTGTGGAAACGCATATAGAAAGACCTGGGGGTAGTGCAGGATGAAAACCAACAATTTTGGGGGTAATTGGGACAAGAGGGGTAGGAGTGAGGAAGGGATGATGATGTAACGATGAAAAGGGGACTGTCAGCCGAGTGTACTAGTAAGCATGCCAAGTAGCGCTTCCCTAGACCTGCCAACTTTGGCTAATCTTATCAAGGAAAAGGAAGCTGACAAACTAGCGTGACGGGCAACGTGCCCCGCACAAAGGGGTGCCTGCTTACCAGGGTGACTTGTTTTTCGCAGGACAACCACTGTTGGCTGGCCATATGGCGAGCGCAGATAAAGCATTTGCATATGGGCTTAAATAGCTGGGTTGGAGAATTTTTTCCAAATCATCTTTTTTTTTTTCCCTCAGTTTTTGCATCCGGTTTGAATTCATGAAATTCCGAGTTTAATGAATACGCCTGTAAATAATCGATTGACCATAGGCAGCTGCTCATTAATAGTGGAGGCCCTTGCTACGGGACCCTAAAAGCAGTGAGAGGCCAAACCTGAGTGCATTTTAACTCTCCCCCCTGCTTGTTTTTGAAGAGTTGCATCTTGCGCGCAATGTGGTACAGTACAGGACTGCTGGGTGTTTAATGGGGAATGTGTAGGAGCTTACTGTCTCGCTGTACCTTGTGGCAGTGACACAGTTAACCCCAGGATAGTGCTCTCTGTGCTTTAATCTCAGGAGTAAGAGGGTTAAGAGTCCCACACTTTCATCTGTGTACACAGTGCAGCTACAAGGGCCTCTAATTGACATGATGGAGTGCTGTTAGGCTGTAATATAGCATGCAGTACACACAGCCCTTACAGGGTAAGTACACATCTCTAGGGGGATCATAAGCCTAGCCCGACGTATCCTGGAACATTCAGCGCCATACACCGGAGCCTGCCTTCTGCCCGTCACGCAATGCAGTGTTTTTTTTAGGTTTTAATCTTCTGAAGAATTCTAATTCATGAATATTCCATTAGATGAATCCACCTGAGATCTAGGTTGGAAATCCTGTATTACTTAGTCTGTCATTGGACTTTCACTCTCATTATCCTCAGCGGCAGGCTGAGAGTAGCAACAGGAGATCTGCAGGACTGAATCCCGATTTCATCTTCTCCATAATGAGAACAAACATGGAAAAAGACACATGTTTTACTCTGCATTTTTAACCCCTTTAGGATCCATTACATTCTTTGTACATTCTATGCTGTCATCGCAATCTGGTCCCTAAAGACTTTATATCAGCATGCCAGTCCTACTGATTAAATGAATCAAGTACAAGCCACATAAGTGTTTATCATACATACACATTCATTAAAGTAATGCACAGACATTCCTGTCTGTGCAAATATTTAATGATTCCCTCTAATAAACGAGCAATAATGCAGGAATCACCTATGTGTAGTCGGAGGGCTCTAACCTCAGGCAGAACTAGACAGCCCAAGATTAGTGGGAGTTTCACTCCACAAGTCTCAGGCAGCATTTGTCAATGTATATACCAGCGCTACTTTAATAGTAAAGTCCCCCCCTAATCCCCTACACTACCCCAACAGAGTACACTAAATATTAATATACAAGTTGCAGAAATATAATATGTAGAAACACATGCACATAGTCAATGCGGCCAATAAGTAGTCGGGCAGTTACAAATCACCTTTTCCTTTGATTCTGCGTGGCACGATAGATTTGTAAATGAAACGGTGACTTACAGGATAAATTGCAGACTGTCAGGTTTAATTTGATGGTAATCAGTGAATATACATAAAAATGACTGTATCCTAAACAGTTCAGTTTAGTATCCTAAACAGTTCAATCTGTACTTTAGCCTTTTGGTCACTGATGTATTTTAAAATCCAAAGTGCCTTTCACCTAAAATTTGAAATTCACTATAAATCCCCCAAACTTCATATTTTCTTTAATAATTCGTACAGATTGTTTACTGAAGATGTCAGTAGTTTATGTTGCAGAACGTGAAACTGTCTGGTCAATACTGAATACATCCCATTATTACATATATATGCTATTTTATATAGCACATTCATGACGGAGGTATGGTATCTATTTGTTTAACCCATTAAGGACACATGACATGTGTGACATGTCATGACTCCCTTTTATTCCAGAAGTTTGGTCCTTAAGGGGTTAAATAGCTGATACAAAAAAATGACTTGAATACAGTGCGATACCTGGGTCATTTGCAAATCTGTGCAACATGTTCTCACCTCTCCAAGGCAGTTCAAAAGCAAATAACA